GGAGTTCCATCAATAACCATTCCAAGACAGATACAATCACTGGAGTTCTTGGGAGTTCTGTCTGTTCTTGGGGCTCTGCATCGCTTCACGGGGGTAAATCTTAGTAGACAGTGAGGAGCCAGTATCCCGTAAAAGCTGACGTGTAAAATTGTTGGTTTGACTTATGGGCAGAATGCTCAATAATTGTAGCTGTCTGGTTAGATGTACTGAGGGGGTGAATCGATCAGCTTGTCTTGATACATTTTAAATCAAGATTTAATATGCTTTGTTTTGTTACAAATCTTGTGGTTTTCCATGTGGCATCAGTTTATTATAGCAACCATTCTTGCGTCTGTTTCTTAAAGGCAAGCGGATGCACGTGCAGTTGTCCACCAGTCGGCTCAGGACCGCGCCCGGGATGGGAGACAAGAGTGGCTGCTATCGGTGCGGGAAAGAAGGGCACTGGTCTAAAGAGTGTCCGGTAGATCGCACGGGGCAAGTGCCTGACTTTACCGAAACCTATAATGAGCAGTACGGAGCAGTGCGCACTCCCTACCCCGCGGGCTATGGGGAGACCATGTATTACGATGATGGGTATGGAGCAATGGTCGACTACTACAAAAGATATCGCGTGAGGCCCTATGCTACGGCATCTGCATACGACGCCTATGCAGAGCAAACAATGGCCCAGTATTCGCAGTATGCGCAATACTCCCAAGTACAAACCACAGCCATGGCCGCCACCACAGCCATGGCCGCCACTACAGCCATGGCCAATCGCCTCACTACTACCCTAGACCCTTATGATAGAGCGCTGCTGCCAACCCCGGGAGCAGCAGCAGCAGCAGTAGCTGCAGCTGCAACTGCCGCTGCAGCAGCCGCATCCTCCACCTATTACACCCGGGATAGAAGCCCCCTGCGTCGCACGGCAACCGCGGCCACCACCGTCGGAGAGGCGTACGGTTATGAACGTTGTCAGCTGTCTCCAGTCTCGTCGGTCGCTCGGGCCTCCCTCTACGATGTTCAGCGGTTCGGGCGGGAGTCGTATGCGGACAGGGCGCGGTACTCTGCGTTTTGAGTCGGAGGTGAGAGCACTTTCCGGTCTAGTTCATCGTTTTTTGTCCTGATACTTTGAGGACATGGGGATCCTCTTCCTAGGTTCTAAGTATGTAACATACATGGTGCTACAGGGGCACATTTGGCCCTGTATCACTGGATGCTAGCAAAAAGTGCCTTACACCTATTAAACTCTGAATTTCACTTGTCAGGCATTTGGCAAAGCTTTGACCCTTGTTAGGATTTTAAATCAATCATACCTCAGGCCTTTTACTTGGAAGTAGACATTTTCCAAAGCCAGGATGTAAGAATGAAATGTAAACTGAGTCAAGTCCAGAAATAACGCATGTTTTTCTGAGGTATCTGTCACCAGAGAATCTAGTGCATTGTGCATATAACTGAAACAGGTGTACATGTAGGGCTTGGAACATTTCCCCCCCAAATAGAGCATGTTTTATATTACCTATGCTGCTACTGTACAGCTACATTAATAAGACCAGGAATGGAATTATGGGGCTACAGCCAGGGGATTAATTGTCAAGGGGATTCCTGCAGTTAAAGGCCAGAGCATGATTACAGTTGTCACTATACTCTAAGAATAAGCTCAGCTTTATGATGAGAGGGTTGTTGAGAGCTCTGCGCCCCCTCCCCCCCTTTGCGGTGGTGTTCCTTCAAACTCCTGTACTGGGATGTGATGTTGTGGGGAGCTATTTAGGACCCAGAATATCTAGGGCATTGTAACTTGCAGTGAGCACGAATTTCCAGGTGAAATGACTTACAACTATTGTGTGGAGCGTGGGTCTAGTTTCCTCTGAGCAGTCTCTTCTGTACTAGATGAAGCTTCCCAATGGCCTTGTGGGAGCCCCCACAGAGAGGGAGCTATAGTAGTCTAATTTAGGAAGGGGGAGGGCACATGCGCTGAACGAGTCAAAGATGAAAGAAGTTACTGGCACTTGTCTGCTCCTCTTGGGACTTCAGGAGCAGAGATGAGTTGGGAAGTTAAAGCCTTCAGGGCAGGGGCACTGTCTTACTGGTCTGAACTACCACAAATACTGTTCACAAAATAATATTTGGAGCTTGCAAGTTGCTGAGAGTCAGGAGAATGTCTTACATTGAGGACAATGGTCACTGTCTTGTTCGTTCCTGCCAACGAGCATCCTGTTTACCATAATGCCTGCTTCCGAGGAACAGGAGCATTAACCCACAACTGCTTTAACTTGTCTCAGTTTAAACAGTTGGAAGCTTGTGGCATGGCCTCCAGTGATAGTAGGTGACCTAGGAGGGGCCAGAGGATTTGACAGGTGATGAAGGATTAGAATTCTCAGCTTAAATCTGAGCCCCCTTTTACACACCAGGTGTAGCTGGTGTGTCCAGTTCTCCTACCAGTCTGTTGTCGTGGGAGGGACTTCACTTTACAGGGTTGGATTCTTCACTCAGCTCACCTTGCATGAAGGTTCTCGCCTTGTCATTGCACCACTCCTAGCGGGAAGGACCTGGGAATCTCCCAGGGCTCCTCTTGCATGTGGCCAGGGTTCAAATGTAAAAGTAATGAGAGAGAGCAGAAGTTTCTGACTCAAATAACAGCATTGTACTCTGAGCTGAGTTTAGCCAGGTAGTAGCATTTTGTTCTTCAATGACCCATCTGATTACAGCAAAAGAGGCCCAGGCAGTGCATTTCCAGGGGTTGCTTTTGTTGTATTGCATTGGAGAGTTATCTATTGATTCCCCCACTGAGTAGGCCATTCTGCATCCTCTCTCAAAAGTGCATTAGCAGTTAGGTTCATGTAGGGTTGCAATGAATCTTGTAATAAGTTTCCATTTCAGTGCAAGAAGACACCAAGCTGAATACAAGACACCATGTCTGTTGGGATTTAGGCTCCTAAATCAATTAGGCACTTTGGAACATTTTACCCTTAATCCCTAAAGTCAGCTGCTGAGAGTCTGTGTTCAGGAAGCAGTTTCTGCAAGTAAGTAGGGTCCTCGGGCACTTTAAACTTTATTAAAAGAAACCTTGTGTAAAGTAAATGGGGTTTTTAAACCTAAATTTCTTGGACATTGTTTAAAGGCCAAAAGGTAAAATTTTCAAAAGTGCCTAACCCCTGTTGATTTGGGTTCCTATGTCATTTTAGTGCTTTTGAAGACTTCACCCAAAATCTTCTGGAGACTGAGCTATCTGATTTCTTAATTCTCTCTCTTCTTGTTTAATTCAAGCGGTCTTTGAATTGTGAGCAAGAACAACCTCAACCTGGGGAGCTATTTTTAGTCCATGTTCTGGAAAGGTAGATCCACAGCAAGAAGATGAGCTTCTAAATGGGCTGGAGGTCTTGATGCTACTGCATTTCAGAGAAGATATTTGAACAGGGTTTTGTTAATGCCATAACTTGAATGCTACACTTAACTGTATTAAACTACAGTGATTGTTTAATTGGCCCACTCATACCAATAGCTACAGCACAGCAGATGCCTCCTATAAAACTTTGTTTAGGTACATTCTAAGAAGCAGAACTACTCTCTGTCCTTGGAAAAAATCTTCCCTGCCACCTAGAAGTAGGTCCTGTTGTAAAGGACCAGGTCAATGTACTGATGGAAGCCCTCTGTGCTCTTCTTGTCACCCCAGTAGAGGGGGCAGGCACAGGGATTTTAATCAGGATGTCCATCCTGGGCCCCATGTGAACATTAGGTCTTCGGTATCCGGCTCTGGCTATTAGAGGTCAAGTTGGCTTGGTGCTCCATTGCCCTCTAACTACTGGAAAAAGGAGTTTTCTCTTCTCCCCACACCAGCTGGCTGTTGGTAGGGAAGGGCCAGGATGAAGATTCTGCTGCTCCAGGCCCTGCTGTGGTGTTTGCTTTGCCAAGCAGCTATAAAGTGAAACTGACTTGGTTGTTGGCTTCCTAGCTCTGCCTAAGGAGTTCTGAACAGCAGCTATGAACAGAATCGGTTTTAGTTAATTTTGTTTTGCTGCTTGGCAAAATGATGAGCATCAGCAAAACCACTAGATCTGCCTGTGGACTCAGAGATATGCTGTACTGGTCAGATTAGGAAGGCTGTCTTAAAAACTAGAAACTTAAATCTTTTAACTGAAAGAACTTGAAATGGATTCCAGTATGGGAGGGCTGCCTGCACATGCTCTGGAGTAACTTTTTTCAAAACTCAGTCATTGGTCATTAAGGACCCATTCCTTTACAAATATAATTTTCAGAGTTTGGAGGTCAGTTTCCATACAGTTGCCTCTAACAGAGGAAATAAATGGAGTATAATTACACATGAAGTGGTTTTCTCTATAAATGCAATGAATTCTATAAAGGAGCAGCTCTTTGCGGTAAAAGCAAAAGCCTGAACTTGTTTGACCAAACCACAGCCAAGACCAAGAAGTAAACATGAAGCCCAATTTTCTGTCTTTGGTTTTGGACCCAATTAATACAGAGCTTGGAAACTGGAACCTCAATAATGCCATAACCATTAAGAGTTTCTCATGTTGATTTTTGTGACTTTCAGGAACAGATAGGTTGACTTTTTCTCTAGGAAATGCACCTCTTCTTTGTACAGGAGACTCAAGGTGGCCTGAGTGTATTTGAGGGCAGAAATCTGTCTTTAGGCCTTTGAATGAATTGTGCTTTTTATCTTTCAGGTAGGATATGTGCGGCTGGACGTCGGGTTCCTGTTGCACGTGAAATCTATATCGTACGTGTCAAACTGTGCTGAGCTTCAAAGCATACTGATCACGGCTAATGCATTTACTCTTAATGGACATTTGTCTCTCTTCAAAGTGTAGTGAAAAGTAACTTAACTTCCTTTTTCTATTTTTCAGAAATCGCTTTGAATAATTTTTTGGCCTTTTATTTTCCCATGACCCTAGAGCCATTATTCTTTGCTGCTCTTTGGGACCTTAGTACCCTTTATCCAATTTAAGCCCAGCTTTTGAGCTAGAGTAGTTGCAGTGCTAGTTTACTCTTTTTTGGAGACATGCTTGGGATTACTGTCTTCCTCTTGCAGTTCAGTTTGTAGCTTGCCTATTTAATAGTATATTTGTTTTTAAAGGTGAATAACCAGTCTTAGTTAACTATGAAATATATCTTAACGTAGTATTGCGAAGCCTGCCACCCTTAGTTCTAGCCTGCAGTCTGGAGTCGTCTCTTCTGCCCCACCATTATTTTTGGAATATAACCTGTAACTCTCCTTCTCTCTGAAGTTTAGCATCGTTTGACCACCTCTCTTTTTCCAGCAAAATAAACACTTGTAACAGATGAGAGTATACTTGTGTCTTGTGTAAACCAGAACCATGCATGGTGCACTGGTCTAAGCTTGTGGGAGTGATTTTATGGAATGAAACAGTTCAAGACCGCATACTTAAGCCACTATTATAGTAGTGCCTGGAACTTCAAAGGACAGTGGGGGTCCCATTGTGGTGTGCACTGTAAATACATATAGCTATCACAAAGATTAGTCTAAATAGACAAGACAAGGGGCAGGAGTAGGGACTCAGTAACAGTAGGAAAAATTTGTAGCTGAATTGGCAATTGAACTCAGGTCTCCAGAGTCCTCAGCCATGGGATTATGCATTAGTCCCTTCCAGTTCACCTCTGAGTATCATCTAGGTCTAAGCTATACCCTTTAAGAGGCAACAGTAGGCAGGAATTTCTCAGCAGTCAGCTGTTGCAGGACTTACAACCTTATTCATGCTGCTTTGATGTGGAATTCCCTCTTCAGGGTTGTATAGGGTCTATGCTGCATGGGGAAAGAGCCACAGGCTGATCTCACTGCTTCTCAGCAGTTTCCTCTTGTTGTAGAAGTTGCAGTTTGAAAAAGATACAAGGAGGTAAGTAGATCTCTGTAGCAGCAACCCTGCTGCTGTCAGCCCAGCTCTGTCAAATCCCTCTGAAGAGAGAAGCTGCTGTATGTCTCTTTTGATAAACTTGAAGGGCATGAGCCAAGTTCAGAGTTGGAGGTGCCTGAACAAATCTATTTCCATCTAGTTTAGTCTACTCTGACTGTCTTACTAGCACCACTCTATAATCAAATCTGTAGTCTGCAAGGAAAGCCGGGTGAGGAGGTGGCTTGTGGCAGGTTATGATCTAGTTGCAAAAGAGGAAAAGCTCCTGAGCTGGGTAAATGCCTGAGTGAGATCCTGCACAATAGTGTGGGTACAAGAAATGCTTTTGATGTGCATTCCCAGCTGAGTACATGGAGGTACACTCACAGTAGTTGCTTTCTCAGTCAGGTACCTTGCCTGTTAACTTCTGATGTCTGAAGGTGACATAGAAGGGCCTTATCTGCTCAGTGAAGAAACACAGCAGTTGAGCTGGTGTAGGCTTAGAATGAGGAGGGTTTTTTTCCCCAGGGCATTGTGATTCCCAACCACTACTCGCTCCCCTTGTACTTTGTTAGCTTTTTGAACTTATCCAAAGCTGCCTCATAGCCATCCTGCTACTGAATCTTGCTTCCTTGTGGCCTGCTGAGTGGGCCATTGTAGCTGGTTCTCTTCCTGGGGGTGGGGTTTCCTGCTGCCGCCACCCTGTCTCAAGATCCCTGATGTCCTCAAATCTAGCTACCTAATCTAGTCTAGTGAAGAAATGAGTAGGAAAACAGAAATAGGGCAAGCCTCAACAGCTCCCATCTGAGGCCATTTTCTACACTCCTCTACTCTCGTGTTTTAAATTCCCTCTCTCACACCATCACTTTTGTGCATTGGCCTATGCTGCCCTTTTCCTCTGGGGAAAAGCTCCCCATCCAAATCTGTAAAGCCATCATCCCCTTATCCTCCAACTAACACATACCAAAAACTTCCTTCTTATGTAGCTAGTGATCACTGCCTATCTGGCTACATTAGGGCAACAAAAATAAGGTGTGGATCCTCAAATACTGTTGATGTGTGGACCTAAGCTCTTTGTGCATTTTCTGTAAACATTCAACACTTATGTCATCTTTCACAGCCCTTCCTTAAAGCTCTCCTCTGCCATGCAATGTACAAGAAGTTCAACATTAGGCAAGTGTGATGCTGTGACTGCTGCTTATCATGCTGCCTTCTGTTTGCCATGTCTCTTTATAAGTCCTTTACTGCGGGGCCTCTCTTTATGTGGTGTGTTTATACAGTGCTTACTATGCTGGGGTCCCTAGCTGCTCCTACAATACACAATTGTTTGCACAGTGCCTAGCATGTTGAGACTGAGCTGGTTAGCCTCTAGCTGCTCTTGCAATGAGTTTTATTAATAATAATGCTGCTTGCTTTCAAGAAAGACTCCACCCTTGCAGAAAACACACACCTTGAGGTACAAGGTTACGCAGTAGACAATAGCCCTTCTCCTCCCTGTGAAACATTGAGTTACAGATGTGGGTTACTGTCAAATAGCTGGAGTGGGAGGAGCCCCTCAATATTGCATTCAGAGTACTCTAAATATGAGTCAGCATTTGGGCTAAGAAACTGACAAGTGAGTGACAATTGTGTTGGTTTTGCTCATGCAGGCACCTGCTCGGTTCATGAATGTTCATACTAGAGGTGGCCACTCTGATCATCTAATTTGACTGGCATTTTACAACCCAGAGAACCACACCTAGTGATTTCTACATCAAGCCCAATTGCTTAGGGTTGAGCTAAAGCATAGCTTTTAAAAAGATATGTCCAATTTCTATTTGCAGCTTTAAGTGATGGGGGACTGAATTCCACCACAGTTCACTTCTTGCAAGCCACCAGATAATGTAGAACTAGCCTATATAACTCATTCCCACTTGACAGCATTGAGGCCATAAGCTCTGCAGGATTCAGGATATCAGACACTTACATAGCTAATGAGAATAACCAGAATTAGAAAAGACATTAAAAATAAGCAGGTGTTTTGGAAGCAATGAGGACACAAGCCAACTTCTAACTACAGGGAGGCAGTTATCCCATCACTGCCTACTGCAGATTTCCTTTCCCTGAACTGTCTGCTGTTGTCTGCTCTTGGAGACAAGATTCTGGAGTAGATGAACCCCAAGTGTGATCTATTCTCTCTTTTCCTGTTTTGGCAGAAGCTTGCACCCACAGCAGCTACGCTCATTGAAAATCTGTGTGGCTGACAAAGGAGCAGACTCGATATAAGCTCATTGCTAACCCTTTACAGGCAAGAGAGGGCAGTGTGTAGTTTCTTGCATAGTCTGGTGGTTTTGAGCCAATAGAAGGGCTATTTTTAGCTCAAGTATTAATGCCCTCTCATGATTGCCAGGCTGGGTGGTAGTGGATTAAGATTCACTTACTCAGCAGATGGAGCTAAAATCTTTATTAAGGCAAAATACTCAGCAAGTAGTGATCAGTTACAAGTGGGAAGATCATCAGGTTGATCTCATCATAGTCGCCTTCAGAAGTGGACAATACAGTTTCAACTTCCCTCTATTACACAAACATAAATAAGTTTTTATTTTTTCTTATACATCTGTGTTAGGCTCTCATTTCCAGGTTAACTCCCTTCCACGGGCAGAACAAGTTTGGTGTTAGTTCAAACCGATCTTTTCTAGCTTTTTAGTTACTTATTTTTTCTTGTTCTTACAAACATTATTATTTTACAATTTCTTACACATACACAGTTCTACTTATGCTGTTAAATGTTATCAGACCAGACATTTAAAATCCACAGCAGGCTTCTCTCAGGCCTAAATATGCCTTCACTCCCCCCAGGCAGCTATCTTGCAAAAGATGCACTTCTTTCCCCTTGCTTGGATCTCCTTTTGTTAATGCATTTAAATACTGGGAGGCAGATTTTCAGGTGTTTGATAGTGACTGGCAGGCAGAGTTTTTTTCTAAAGTATGCAGCTCCCATTTAGACAAAAAATAAGCAGCCAGACTTGGTGTGAAAATCCCCCTTTCTCAATTGAATGCCACATAGAGGCAGCTGGATTCCTACCATCTACTCTTTGGAGAAAGAGGGGGCTGTGTGGTCTCTGACACCAGTACCAGCAGGGTGCAGAATGCTGCTGCTGTGATGTGCTAGGACTTTGCACTGGTGTAAATGACTGAAGTGCAGGGTCCCATATCTACGTGCTCTCCTTTCTCCCAAAGATTTGGGCTTTGACATAATCGGCAGCCAATCAGAGCATGGCCTTTACAGGCCTCATTGCTTCCTCTGCAGCTGGTGGGGCTTGTAATTAACTTCCCCTTGGGTTGAACCACAGTGGTGGGAGGTTTAGAGAGTATGGTGGAGGGAAACTCAATCCTGAGGAGTATTAAGGTTAAGCTAGGTATTCATCCCCTCCACGGGCCAGAAGACCAGTGATAGCAGCGGGACTGTTAACACCTCATCTTCCCACTGGGAGTTTGCAGGGTGAAAAGTTCTCTCAGGAACCCACCATTCCCCCTCTCCTCCATTCCTTTTCAGAAGCACTCAGGTTTTCAATCCAAGGCCTGCTTTGGGAATGGGATTATAACCCTAATGCTCTTGTTATTGGCATGGGAAATTAAAGTACACTGGGAAGTTGCAATTTCATCTGGTTATGGAGAGCTCTCTGTGCTAAATGGGCCATACACGTACACTGAGGAGCAGGGAATCCCTCTGTTGAAGGAGGACTAGGAGCTAATGGGTGCAGGGGGGATTTTCTGCTGAATGGGGAAAGGTAGCTGTGTCCCAGGTTTGGAGCTGTGCAGAGCAGACTATGTATGCCAAGCTTCCTCTGCCATCTAAAAGTGTGCAGGCAGGGTAGAGTATTTGGCCCTGGTGAAGCCAAACTGCAAAACCAACAAAAATATTCAGGTGGGCAGTTACATCAGTGCTTTCCAAGGGGCATGGATTAGCAGTCACATGATCCAGGCCAGTTAATGATCCAACCAGCAGACCAAATTTGGTGAAGCCTGGCCACCTGAGGCATATTGCGCATACACTAGGATTTGCTTTCTCAGCCTGAGTCTGTCTCTTGGAGTTGTTCTGTGCCACCAAGCCCCAGCCAGGGGGGAGGATGGGAATGGAGTCTGTATATGCTGTCCTAATATCCCAGTCTCCCCCTGCACCTCAGTCACTTTGAGAGTCTGGACAGTTATCTTTGCCATAAGCACTTCCATTGCCCCATCCACCTACTATGCTCTTCACACCTCTCAGGGAGAGGGGGTTTTTGATTTTGCCCTACTCCTCACCCACCAGAGTGGAGCCAGTGTTTGGGGACAAGTCATATGACACACCCTGAGGGTTTAGGATGCACCCAACACATCTGTCCATCTACCCCAGGGGTCTGTAACGCGGTGCCTGTGGGTGCCAGGGTGCCCGCTGGGGCGTCTAAGTGCGCCCACGTACTGGCCAGCAGCCGAGCATCCGCCTGAAATGCCACCGAGAAGCAGCATCCTCCAGAGGCGTCACCGCCGAAATGCTGCCGATTTTTGGCATTTCGGTGGCGATGCCTCTGGAGGACTCTGCTTCTCGGCGGCATTTCGGCAGCGACACCTATTGATGTTGCCGCTTGTCAGCGGCATTTCAGCAGATGCTCGTCCGCCGCCATGGTCCTCTGTGGCTCGTCGTCTGGCGCTGCCAGACAAAAAAGGTTAGGGACCACTGATCTACTCACTCAACCTGGGTCCTGCATGCTGTGCTCCATCTGCTGACTGACTTGGGCATGCTTTCCAGCTTGGAAGGATATGCTGACACACGTTCCTGATACATAGATCTCCATAGTTGGAAGGGTGAGAGCATCAGCCCACATAAACATCGAGTCTCTTACTGAACGCTGCTCCACTCTCAGCAATAAGTTCCACTGGCTAAGGGATGCAGTGTGTGTGTGTGTGTGAAAAAGTATTTCCTTTTATCAGCTTTTAATTTGCCACCTTTCAATTTTGATTATCCTCTTGTTCTGATGTTATTAATATAGAAGTTTCTGATCTCTTTTCTATGGCAGTCATTTATTTATATAATTTTATCATGTCTCACTAAACAGTCCCAATTTTTTCAGTCTCTCTTCATATGTATTTTTTCCCAGCATCTTAATCAGTCTCCTTCCCTGTCTCTGAATCCCCTCTAATTCTGCTGTCTCTCTGGAGATGAGATGAGAACCAATACCACCCTGTAGTCCAGATGAGGATGACCCATTCATAATGCCAATAGAATATGTTCTGTCACATTCCTTATGCATCCTATATTTTGTTTGCTTATTTGACTGCTGCTGTTCATTCACCAGTTGTCTTCAGTGTCCACAGTGATGCCCTGGGCTTTTCCTAGAGTGGATACAGTTAATTTACAATCTAGTAAGATACAGAAGTAGTTTAGAGACTCCCCTCCTAACATGCATTACTTTGCATCAGGTTGCCATCTCCCTTAGCATGGTTAGGACCCTCTGCAGTTCCTCAGAGTCTTTTCTGGTCTTTACGGACTTAAAAACATTGTGTCATATGTAAATTTTGCCACGTGGCTTCTCACTTCCTTTTCCCAATCATTTATAAATATATTACCACCACCCATCTTAATACAGAACCTCAGATCACAGCACTGTCAACCTCTGGCCACACTACCATTTATTTCTACTCTAAGCCAGTTTTTGATTCAGGGTGGTTCTTCACATCTCATATCAGCACTAGTTTCTTTATTAGCCTCCAGGGAGGGCCTTTGTCAACAGCCTTTTGAAAACAAAGTATAGCACTCATTTCTCTTTCAATGACTGTCTTATTGACACATTCAAATAATTTTTATAGCTGAATGAGAATTTTTCTTTGGAGAAGCTTTATTGGTTGGAATCTATCTTAATATGATCTAGGTATTTTAGTAAATTATCCTTTCAACTAATTTACCAGACAGAAATTAGACTGACTGATTGGTAACTCCCTAGAGCCTTTTTTCAAACATAGGTATACTATTTAATATTCTCCAGTCCAAAAAAATGATTTTAATAAAGCATTATACCAGCGGTGGCCAAACTGGCTTGCGAGCCGCATACGGCTCTTTTACAGTTAAAGTGAAGCTCACAGAGACACCCGCCCTCCCCCACCCATTCTCCACCTACCAGACTTTGGGGGGAGGGGAGAGGAGCTCGGGACCTCTGCCTTGCAGCAAGGAGGGGGTCTTGGGGCTTCAGTAGAAGTGGAGCTGAAGCCCTGAGCCCCAGCAGGTGCCTCCCGCCTTAGCTCTTGAACTTCTGAAGATTGTTGTATGTGCCTCGAAAGGTCAGTAAGTTTGGCCACCCCTGCATTGTACATTTTTTCCTAGCAGCTCAGCCACTTCATGCTTAAATCCCCACTAATTTCCAGCTTCAGCTATCATTGTCTTAAACAACAAAAACACCCTTTAGTTATTTGTTCAAATTCATAGTCCTAATTTCATTCTTGCACATGAATGCCAACATTTATGTTCTATTGCCTTCCTGTTTCCTGAAGGGTAGCCGTTTTGCTCTCTTAGCTGGACTCAAGCTGGGTATGGGTAGCCTAATTGATCACGTGTTACTTTCTGATTTTTCTTGTGTACTTATGAACTATTAACACTGCTTTATTGGAATAGATTTAGCCAAATGGTAGTGAGTGGAAGTGACTGCTGCTTAATTGGCACAATACTAGCATAAAGGTATCAGCTAGCAGCAAGCCGTTTAATGCTACTTGGCCCAATGCTAAATAGGGTAAAATTTGGAGTTGCACATGTAGTTCCATTTGTTTATAGTTTGTGGCATATCTATGACAAAGCAACTGCCCATAAGCCAAGTTTAGGTTTGTGCTTAGAGAGGAAGGAGTGGTAGGTACCTATACTGCTTCTTGGAGTATAAAATGTCGCGGTCTAAATTAGCGGTTACCACTCAAGAAAGAGATCATGGAGTCACTGTGGATAGTTCTCTGAAAACATCCACTCAATGTGCAGTGGCAGTCAAAAAAAAAACTAACAAGAATGTTGGGAATCATTAGGAAATGGATATATAAGAAGATAGAAAATATATTACCATTATATAAATCCATAGTACGCCCACATCCTGAATACTGCAAGCAGACCTGGTCGCCCCATCTCAAAAAAAGATATATTGGAATTGGAAAAAATACAGAAAAGGGCAACAAAAATGATTAGGGGTATGGAACAGCTTCTGTATGATGCGAGATTAACGACTAGGACTCTTCAGCTTGGAAAAGAGATGACTAAAGGGGGAATATCATAGAGGTCTATAAAATCATGACTGGTGTGGAGAAAGTAAGGAAGTGTTATTAACTCCTTATAAACACAAGAACTAGGGGTCACCAAATGAAATTAATAGGCAGCAAGTTTAAAACAAACAAAAGGAAGTATTTCTTCACACACTACACAGGTAACCCGTGGAATTCTTTGCCAGAGGATGTTGTGAAGGCCAATACTATAACAGAATTCAAAAAAGAACTACCGTATATACTTGTTCATTAGCCCGTTCATTTATAAGCTGAACCCCCGAGATGGTGAGGTAAAAATAGCAAAAACTGTATGACCTTTTCATAAGACGACCCTATATTTCAGGGGTTGGCAAACTTTGGCTCCCTGCAGTCAGGGTAAGCCGCAGGTGGATCGGGACGTTTTGTTTATTTGGAGCATCTGCAGGCATGAGCCCCTCAGCTCCCTTTGGCCGCAGTTCGCCATTCCCAGCCAATGGGAGCGGCAAGGCATGCCACTTCCTGCAGCTCCCATTGGCTGGGAAGGGCAAACCGCGGCCACAGGGAACTGAGGGGCTCCATGCCTGCAGACACTCTAGGTAAGCAAAAGACAATGTATTAGATACTCAATTCAATGATTCCATGGAGTTAAAAATTATCAAATTTTGGTGTAGACCCGTTTACAAGCCGACCCCCACTCTTTGATGCATCACTTTTTTACCAAAAATATTCAGCTTATGAACGACTATATACAATAGCTAAGTTCATGGAGGAGGTCCATCAATGGCTATTAATCAGGATGGGCAGGGATGGTGTCCCTAGCCCCCATTTGCCAAAAGCTGGGAATGGGCAATAGGCGATGGATCCTTTGATGATTACCTGTTCTGTTCATTCCTTCTGAAGTACCTGCATTGGCAATCACTGTTGGAAAATAGGATACTAAGCTAAATAGACCTATGGGTTTGACCCAGTATGGCCGTTCTTAGGTGTACTTAGTGCATGGGATGTTCTTAAAACTATTTTCCTTAACTTCCTTCTAGCTGGATTTCCATGAAGATTGAACTGACTTCTACTCCATATACTGTCTGCAGGCAGGGTAATTATAGTGGGAAAATAGTTAATTTTTAAAAAATATTTTAATTCAGTCACTTTAGAGTTATAGCCTTCAGCTCAGGTGGAGGGGCAGTGGTGATTTTTGGCAGAGGGTGGTTGTCTTTGATCCTGCATGGCAGTACTCCATGGCATACAGCAGCATGGAACTTTCCTTCTCTAGTTGAAAAACTGAACCTGTTTTTCTTCTTTCCTCCCCTTGAATGTAAGAAACTACCTTTGCAACATTGCAGAATAATGAAAAAGTGCCAGCAGGGTAATGGTTTAGAATTACATTGCAGCATTACTTCTTTCAGTCACAGCACTTGCTGTAGTGTGTCATTAATGCATCTACTATAAATATACAACTACTGGCACCTGGAAGCACATATAGATTTGGTTAGCAGGTGTATTAGCTTTTGTAAATGCTGAATCAAGTATTGATAAAACCTTCACATTGGTTACATATTCATCTCCACAAATCTCACTGGAGGAGGAGATTTAAAGAAAGAGTTTAACCTTTTACAGAAAATGCATCCTATATTCAAACAGGATAAGGTGTACATAAAGTACAAGTGACATTTCTGCACAAAAGGGTCACATTCCAATGAGTAATCAAGACCCTAGTACTTTTCTAGTCATTTCCTAGACAGTTTGTAAAAAAGTTCACCAGTAAGTTTCTGTTCAAAAGTACATTCTTTCCCTTTGGAGACCATTTAAAAGGATGCTGATGGAATTAAAATTCATACATAGTGTGCAGTGACAATAGCATGTTTATAAGGTAGTTGCTGTTGGTCCACGGGCTGGAAGGAACCATGAAAATGCAGTAGCAGGCTAGTGTTGGTGTAGTCCCAAGGCCAGCACAGACAGTAACAAACCTTTGTATTGTCAAAGCTAGTTGCTAAGAAGTTACTTTTGCATGTACTTGATAACGTGCACTAGATAAATACTCTTACCTTTATTTAATGGAAAAGTCTCCTACTGCAAGATATGCAAATACACGAGGCTTTCTGAAACCTGAATACACTTCTCAGCTCGGGTCTTCACAGAGCCACATCAGGCAGAGTTCATGGTACTAGGTTAGCAATGTGTTTTGTCTATGCCAGTTATGATGAGCTTAGCTCTCAAGGAAAGGGAGTTATTTAAGACAGTAGTGAGCAGATTCAGAGAGAGAAAGGTCTGGGTCCCATCTTCTTGGAAGGTAAGGGTAATTACCCTGAACCAGTGACAAAGGCAAAGATATATAGCAAGGATACTTGAGATTCCTTTGAGCTGTGGGATATAAACCCAGAACTCACCATTTTGTGAAAAAGTCTATCTTTAAGGTGTATCATTTTCAATACAATCAACATGTAGTGTTTCAATTTCATGTGTTTATTTTGCTTCCCTAACCTTCTGCTGTGAAGCTTGAGCTCTTACAAGCTCTTTGGATAGCGCTAGCTGCTCTCTGCAAACCAAAAGCAGACTTGGGCCATGACTACTCTACATAATTAAGTCAACCTAACTTACATCAGCATACAGCCGCTGCACTAATTATATCACTTGTGCGTGTCTACACTTTGCTCGTTGTGTCGGTGGTGTGCGTCCTCACCAGAAATGCTTGTATTGTACTGTCAGTGTGGGGCATTGTGGGACAGCTCCTGAAAGCTAACAATAGTTGACATAAGCAACGCAGTATCTACACTGACACCGTGTCGACCTAACTACATTGACCTTGACTCTATGCTGCTCATGGAATTGGCATTGCGTGGCAGTTATGTCAGCTGGTGCAAAAGTTACGGGTAAACACTTCCATAGTTAGGTCAATATAAACTGCCTTGTTTCAACCTGTAGTCCAGACCTCAGTCTTTGTCTACATAAGCAATTTATGCTGGAATAACTATGTTGCTCAGGGGCATGGAAAATCCACACGAACCTAACTCCCAGTGTGGATAGCGCTATGTCAATGAGAGGGCTTCTCCTGTTGGTACAGCTACAGTGATGGGAGAAGCTCTCCCATTGGCATAGATAGCGTCTTCATTACAGCAGTGCAGCTGCAGCATTTTAAGTGTAGACAAGCCCTTAGAGATAAGAGGAGGAAACTCCTCCAGGGGAAGCTTCCTGAGTCCTAATATTTAAAGGTTTCAGAGTAGCAGCCGTGTTAGTCTGTATCCGCAAAAAGAACAGGAGTACTTGTGGCACCTTAGAGACTAACAAATTTGGGCATAAAGATTCGTTTATGTCCCAATTGAAGCAGATTAGCTTATATCCCTCAAATGTTTTTTAATTTCATTTTTTAAATGGATATTATTGCCGTAAGTGTCAAATCCCTTTTTAAAGCCTCAAACTCTTGCTCTTAATGCTGCCTTGGGACAATTAGGGCTGGTCTATGCTGAAAACTTAACACTGGCATAGCTACATCTCTCAGGGGTGTGAAAAAAATCCAGTGTCCCTTAGAGGTAGCTATGCCAACCTAACACCCAGTATAGACAGCTCTAGGTCAAAGGATGAATTCTTCTGTTGATCTAGCTATCACCTCTCAGGGAGGTGGATTAACTACAGCACCAGAATACTTCCTGTTGCTGTAGTGAGTGTCGACATTGAGGCGCTACAGTGGCACAGCTGTGCTGTTGTAGCATTTTAAGTGTAGACATAGCCTGAGTTCCACAGACTAACTGGTAAAAGATAATATTTTTTCCCCACACTACAGTTTTGAATTTGTCACCTTATTTTCACATCCAGCCTCTTGCCAATTTCCCCCCCTAATAAAATAATCATTTATTAGAATTAAAATTTAACCCACCCCAAAAAAAATAGGATTAGAACACAAGATAATTTTCTTTAAAAATAAATGAACTTCTACTGAATTTCACAATTCAAAGGCAAACAGATAGAACAATACAAAAAAAAACATTCTAGACATTTTAATAAACACATCAGCAATAAAAAACCTCAAACTTTGGTATATGAGATCAAAATTCAACCATGTGTTACTAGTTACATAAAAACACAAAAATCAGTTACAATCAGTACAAAGCTACTTACTCATGTAGTAAGTGATTATAAAACTGTTGAGAAAGATTTTTGGCTTGATGATAAAAAAGCATTTAAACACAAATTGAGCTAGATTCAGAACAGAAATATGTACATAACCTAACTGTAAATTCTGCCCAAAGGACAGACACCATTTTCTACATGCATGAGTGACAAAGCTAAATTACCTAAAGTTAAAAAATACTTCTAATCTATAACATGTTAAACTTAAATTTCCATGTCCAACCCAGACTTTCAACAACAGCTACAGAACAGCAAGTGTACTAGGGACTGGATATTTGAGATGGAGCAGAGAATGTTACCTAAAAACTAAAAAATTTGCAAAAAGTTCACACCCACAGCTATATTTTCACAAAGTTTTCTGGGTACAAAATCATTGAACCATAATCTAAGTTTCCAACTGAAACTGTTTTCCTACTCAAGTTTAATCATTTACCTGTCTGCATTTATTTTTTAAGTGCATTTTAAGAAGTTAACAGGTTCGCTGGCAAGTCTAATGCCAACAAATTCACTCAACATACTGGAAGGCTAAAGATTTGTGGATATAGTAAGTGAAGCAAAATCTAAACAACCCAATAGGCAAGGCAACTGCATATCACATCAATTTCAAAATCAGATATAAATGACAAATCTATAAAAATATATATCTTCTAGAAAAATGTTGAGGTAGCTCCTGCATTTGTCAATTTGGAGAGAGAATCTCAGTCTGGTGAGGTGGCTACAGCTCATGGACTACACAAAGGAAGCTTGATGAGAAGTCACATTATCAGTCCTCTTGGTTTAGGAGGGGACTGAGTAAATACAAAGGTGAATTATTCACTACCACTCAGGCGACACCTATAGCGGGAAAGAAGCCCTCACCAATAAAGAACACAATCTAGAGTAAGAATTAAAATGCCTCGCATCCTAAAGAAGGAAATTAATGAGTCATCACTTTGGCTGGCCTGTGACAAAGATGCCCATCAAAATCACTCCTCCTCAAAGAGCTTCTAGAAAGAGCAGCATTATTGCTACTAATAAAAAAACCACTGGTGTCACCATCAGGAGAGAGCAAGCAGGTTCTAACCCCAGTAGCTGCCATCATGGTCATGTGGTAGGTGCAGCCAGATGGAACATCAGGAAGAGTCCAGGAAGCAAGCTGGGATTTTGAACATCCCCCTAAAGTCCAGCAAGCCATAACCATTCTCGTCTGATCAAATCCACTCCCACCCCAATCCACTTGAAGGTGGGGCTCCTCCTTGATCCTTGCACTCACAGGTTGCTGTAGTGAGTGTCTACATTGAGGCACTACCCCTCTCTTGCTAACCTTACCTCTAGTGTGGAATCACAGTGTTCATGCAGAGAGACATCCTTTTCCTGTCCCCACTGTTTTCAGTCCTTCAGAAATCATTCCTTTAGTCTGCCCTTAAACATGTAGGCCACTTGCTTCTTCCTAGCTACTCTGCCATACTTAGACAATTCAGAACATTCTCTCAAGGCAAGACATTTCCTTAACCCTTGTCCTTCCCTTCTCTATGCCTGTCCTTTATCAGTTTCAGGCTCCATGTTTATCTAATTTATGCTGTAACAAATTCAGGGCAGGGACTGGAAGTTCAATTCTGGCATCATGTAGATGGCAAACACCTAATACCTTCAAATTGCAGGTTTAAATGCCCAGAAGAGCTGATGGAGAGCTCCACGCTGCAGAGGTAGATGAATCTGGTACCAGGCAGTGTCCTGGGGAGAGGTACTTTGGAATGGGAATTAAGATGAGGTGTTGACCCACTTTAGGAAATGAAGTCACCCACTGCTCTTCTCCCAAGCACATTTTCTGTTTAAACTATAAGCTCCCAGGGACCTCCGATATGACTTAAGGGGCACACCTATGGTCTTAACAACAAATCTTACAGCACATGTTAAGAACAGAGATCTGGCCTGCTCTTGGACAATACTCCAGCTCTCTTTACTATTATGCACCAGTTGGCTACCACATTTCTTCCCTAGAGCTGGCTGCCCTGCAGTGGTGCTGTATGTATGCACGCACTCATTAAAGTCCTTTGATTTACCTTTAGGATGAAAGGAAGAGAGTTAAAGAACATGGGACATTACTCCTGAAACCAATTAAACTGGAAAAAAAAATACACCAGACAACTTTCTAAACTGTAAATAGCCCCCATTTTATTTACAGTCAATACAAAAACTAACTCATTTCAGATGTATAGATTCAAACATCACATCTACTGCAAACTTAACACCGGTGTAAAAAGAAAAAGGATTTTCATGTTACATAAAAGAGCATTTGCTCTTCTATTCAGAGAAAGCAATTGCTCGGGTTATAAAAACAATACTGAGCAACAGTCATTGTGAATTGCATTTATTAGGAATCCTGCATGAGCAGCTTATGTCTTACTAATAGAGACATTAGCATCAGGAGTCGCAAACAAAAACCGATTCCAGATATGCTATGGCATTCTTAGCCCTACTGGAGCACGAAGGAACTCGAGTCTTCGACTTTCAAAGACACAATGTGCAGCAGTCGTCTACATTGTTCCTGGGGTTGCAGGACAGGTTCTTCTTGAGATCATAAATTCAGATCATTCTAAAAACGCAACAAAAAAGGCAGCTGAAAATAAAATCCCCCAAAGTAAAAACCAGGAGAATGCTATTTGTGTTGGATGTAGTAGCATGTCTCAGACACGCCTCATACTATCGCCTCAAATAATTCTTTAATCAAGTGACATGAAGGAACAGAGCCAAAACGACAGGCTGTAATGACACCTGAGATAGCATGGGAGGGAAGGAAATTTAATAACTCAGAATCTGCAGAGAACTGAATGAGGAAGCCAGCCTAGTAAAGACGCAGATTGGCTTTATGCTAAGAAAGCGTGTCCCAATGGGGAACATGTAATTAATGATACTGCCCCCATCTGGAACAGGAACCCCAACCCCACTACAGGCGGCGCTGGTAATTAGAATGTAGCCGAGCAGTATGCATATAATCGCCATAGGCACCCGAATAACGGGTATAGTCGGAATGCGGTTCTGGAAGACGGCGATAATCCAGCGGGGACTTTGTCGGCGAATGACGGTACACAAGTGGCGAGTCTGCTAAACGACGGTAATCTGAGAGGTCAGATAAACGGCGGTCAGAACTGTACCTGGTTAAGAAAAGAGACATTTAATGAATAAAACAAAAGGGTCCGTGATAGTGGCCTAACACCGCCCTGGTTACGCAATATATATATTGAGGAGACCCTCATGAGAGATCAGAATCTCTCCAGTGAAGACCATACCCGCAGAGCAACACTATTAGTACATGTCTCACTAAGGCAAACCAGAGGAACTTGTGGGTTAATCAGTTCTTTTCAGAACAGTTCCTTAGCTATCTTTTACCTCCTTCGATGGATACCTCAAATATACATGTTAAATTTCCCCCAACTCTTAGGCAAGTAAATAGCGCATGGGAAAGCAAGAGCTGGATATGCCTGCCATTTCTCTTAACAAATGCAGCCCATTTACTTATTAAGCACTGAAAATAGGGAGGACTGGTCTGACGACTTATGGGGTTGAGGACATTGGTTAAAATCCAATCCAGGTCAGTAACGGTGGTCTCAGTCCAGTTCCTAGAGAGCAGGCACCTACAACACGGCACCACCACAACTGACAGTAGTTTGAGTCTTTCATTCGCAGTTTAAGCAGAGGTGCCAACCTGTGAGAGAAACTCAACTCCCCATCTTAGCCCTAAGGGTTGTAGTTCCAAGTGAGGGATAAGGCACACTGTCTGTGGTAGAGTGCAAGAAATCTTTAATGCCATTGTCTGGGGTATACACGCCCTAGGCAGAAGAAATTTCCTGGCCCCAGGGCTGCCAATTTTGCAACTTTCACACAAAACTGTAAAAAAAACACTAAATAAATATCCAGTAGAATCTGCAGACCAGTAAGAGGGGTGCACCAGCATATTATCCCACCCTTCACCCTAGCCAGACGCACCCGAAGCAAAGAAATTGTAAGGGGGCGGGGGGACTATGTAATGATCTGTATTACTGCCAGAGCGGGAAGCCATTTTGTCATTTTAATAATGCATCAAGTTTCACCTCCCACCCTGTCAATGCTTCCAGAACAGTAAGTTAGTGTAATGTATTAGCAGGGGAATTTCCACTTTTTGGTGAAGCAGAACCAAGTTTATAAAGGCGAAGACCAATAGACTTGTATTGAGTCTGACTGCCTCTAGTCCCTTGGACAGCACATCGAGATCCTTGGACGAAAGGCTCTATTTATGTGCAAAGTATTATCACTGGCTTAGCAGCATACCTTTTAGCCAAAGCAGATGATTTTTTGAAAGGATCGTCATAGCCAGCACTCCGTGGAGGAGAAAGGCGGGTGCGTTCGTATGGTGGTGCGATGGCAGCAGCAGCAGCAGAAGACTGAGACAGTCCCAAATACGGGGTTGCTTGTTGTCCAAGCTGGGTTGGCCCATCATATGCGGTCACAGGCTGAGCTCTGAAAGTGACTGCCAAGGGAACAGAGGAGGGCTGCTGTGCTGTATAGGAAGCTGACATTGAGTTTGAAGACTGTGTTCTATAGGGTGTGGTCAGTGGAGCAGAGACCTGTGATTTGTAGGAAGCTGCTGCAGACTGATTGCTATAAGATGCAGCCAGAGTGGATGCAGGCTGGGTGCCATAGGTTGCTGAGAGCACAGCTGTAGGCTGGGCGCCATACGAGGCTGAATGACCGGCCACAGGCTGGGCGCCATACGAGGCTGAATGACCGGCCACAGGCTGGGCGCCATACGAGGCTGCGAGAGCAGTTGCAGGCTGGGCGCCATACGAGGCTGAATGGCCAGCCACTGGCTGAGCTCCATATGAGGCTGAGAGAGTAGCTGCAGGCTGGGCTCCATAAGAGGTTGAGTGGCTGTCCACAGGCTGGGCTCCATAAGAAGCCAAGTGGCTGGCTGCAGGCTGGGCTCCATAGGCGGCTGCGTGTGTGGCCACAGGCTGGGCTCCATAGGTGGCTGTGTGACCAGCTGCAGACTGAGCTGCATAGGCAGCGGCTGCATGTGTGGCTGTTGGCTGAGCTCCATAGGAGGCTGAGTAACCAGCCACAGGCTGAGTACCATAAGAGGCTGCATGCGAGGCTGAAGGCTGAGCTCCATAGGATGATGCTAGTGTTGCTGTGGACTGGACCCCATAAGAGGCTAACTGGGAAGCTGCAGCCTGGGTGTTGTAAGCAGCAGCAGCCTGAGCGCTGTAGGAATTTAGTGATGAGGCTGCAGGCTGGGTATTAGAAGCTCCTAGTGAAACAGAGGACTGGGTTCTGTAAGTATTTCCAAGTGAGGTCGAGGGCTGGGCCCTGTAAGATGCTGCCTGTCCCGTTGTTGGCTGGGGTCTGTAAGACATTCCGAGAGATGCAGAGGGCTGGGCTCTGTAGGTTGCACCCAGTGAGGTTGATGGCTGAGCTCTGTAGGATGCTGGTTGTGCTGTCATGGGTAGTGACACAGTGGCAAAACCGATTCTTGTTGGTGATCGTCGAATTGGGCTTCTGTCCCTTCCAAAATATGAGGGAGATGCTTGCCTTGTCTGAGTGTCAAAGGAGTTGTATTTGTTTGAAGTGTTGGTGCCACCGAAGCGCTGCTGATAATCGTAGAGCGAGGATGCAGTGTATCCTGCAGAGACTGATGGATATGTAGAGTCTGTAGGCCTAAGCTGCTCGTAACCGTCGATCTTGGGTTGATATTTCTCTCTAAAGTCCACACTTGCTCTCTTGCTCTTGTCAGCATTGATGCCTGCCTGGGCATTTTGTCCTGCCCCCTTTTTCTGAACATTAGTAGAGAGTTCCACATTGACTCTTCTTCCTTTCACTTCCTTTCCGTTAAGATTTTCGATGGCAACTTTTGCATCTGCTTCTTTCTCCATGTGAACAAATGCATAGTCTGATAAAGTAGACAGAGGGTTATCAGTGAAGAAGACAAGACATTTTATTACAGGATCGAACACTTAACAGATGCACGCATCTCTCTGCTATTACTTAAATGCACTTTGGGTATAAACAGAGTCTGTATTGTAGCCTTCCTAATAAACTGCGGGCTGGCAACTAAATTACCCCAATTTACCATAGCTGCTACATTATGAAAACTGCAGTCTATTACTAAAAAAAAAAAAAAAAGGTAGAGAAAACCCACAAGTATCTAATCAAGGCACAGAAAGAAATCCATGTGCTCAGTAGGTTTGTTTACAAATACCCTCAAATATCCACAAATAGTTCCCAAAATCTTAAATTCTACAATATTGTCTCATTCAGTTCGGAGAACACAGAGCCAAATTGAAGTTTATGGAGTCATACCAGAGTTGACTTTAGTCCATTTTGTACTATTAAAGAACATGTAACCAATACAGTTTTCTTGAAATTTCAGGAAGGAAATTACTAGCCATCCACAAACTAGAGATTCTTCCAGCAGCTCATGCTAATCTTGCAAAAAAACATCCAAACTAATCTGCTTTGGAACCCTCTAGTTTGTCAAAGGTATTACACTGTAGAATACAAACTTAAACAGGGTTAAGAGGACTGTATTTAATATCTACAAAAGAATCTTTAATAAAATATATTTAGTCAGTGGAGTGAGCAATCAATTTAAATATTTGTGAAAATCAAGTATGTCAGAACATCTAGAACCGAGACTGGGCACCTTTTATATTTTAAAAAGCCAAATAAGTAGAAAAAAGTAGCAGCCTCTTGACTATTCTGACTTTAATAATCCTGAAACTCGGTATGGGTAAGCTTTACAATTACATTGAAAAATTCAGTATTTCAGAAGGATTTACCTCTAGTTTCTCAACTTATTTTTAATTTTAAAAAAAGCACATTTTCTGTGCTGCATCATACTAGACAACCAAATCTACTGACATTTTCATTTGCAGTGCAGGGAAGAGTTATTTTAAAGTCTACATATATTAATAATTTGGTATCTTCACCTCTCACTTACAGAAACTGTATGGTTACCCTTAGTTTTTTCTAAAAACAATTAAGTGTTTTAGTCTGTGGCAGGACCTCAGGTTGAACATAATAGCTACAGACGCTCCCTGGGTTACGCAAGACCCAAATTACGCAAATTCACACTTATGGAAAAAGTTCCATAAGCCAGAAATAGGATTTTCGAGTTGCGGAAATTTTTGCGTAATGTATGGGTATACGTTTCCAACGTGCATAACTCAAATTTTGTGTAAGGCTTTCCAGAACAGAACGATTGCGTAAGTCAGGGGGTGTCTGTATAGCAAATTCAAAGCTACAGCGGCTCAGATAACTATCTTACACACAGAAATCTAGAATGATATATTCTTATAAGCATAATTTTAGTCTATACCAGCAAAACACTTGAAGTGACTATTACATTTATGACACGACAGGAGCTAGGGAATGTTCCAACAGCAGTAATTCTAAAGCAGTTTAGAAAAAATACACTTACAAGAAACTAGACTTTTACTGAACACAAAGCAAATGTCTAATCCAATATTTCATAATTTAGATCCCTATACTCTAAAGGACATAGAGCCAACCCCACATGCAGAGGACACCATAGGAATTAACAGCTCAAGGGATTAAAATCAGCCCACACAAGCCCCATTGCTCAACTTCCCTGCTACAATCCAGAATCCAGGCCCTGCTATTCCTCCACTCCCATATTGAGGGCCGTGGCAAGTCATTTCAATTTATGTGCCTCTGGAGAGTCTCCAACGTTTTATAATGAACGAGGAGAAAGTAACTGGCTGCTCATGGACTGGACATTCTTAGCATGCTGAGCACAAATCACAAGATCATTTTTTGGGGACCCTGAAGCAACGGGAGCCTTTTCCAATGTACTGAATCCCAGTATGCAAGGACTGACTTGGGACCAGCAACATGGGAAGCTGCACTATCCCTGGTGGGCACCCTTCTCCAGGAGTTCTATAGGCTTAGGAACTCAGAAGTGCCATGGTAAGGATTCTTAGTGTTCAAACATGGCTTCTGCTGGCCTACTTCACAAATAGGCCATCTTTCTCAACCAACAAAACAGAATGGAAATACCAAATTTAATCTCGAAATGAAGGAGTTGGAGCCATGCTGTACCCCATCCCTCCTTCCCAAGGGCTCACTTGGCCCAATAGGGCCCTACCAGCAAGGTTGGCTTCCAATGATCCAAACTATGGTGCTAGAAAAACATCCGACTGTATAGGCAAGCAAGATCTGCCGGTGTCCAAACACATCAGATGCACCAATACCTCACAGGCTCTCTTAAAAGTACCTACAACCATCCTTCCGCTATTACCAGCAGGGCCAAATGAAACCTTGGGATTTCCCCTGAGTTCAGCAAGGCCTTATATACTTCAAGGAGTTGTGGAGATCTTGCCTGCTCTTGTTATTGCCCTTCATGTTTGGTGAATGGTGAGAAGCTGGTGTTTTTTGCACACCAATAATGCTGTAGCTGATTTCTGCCTATAGAAGCAGGCGGTCCCAAGGACTCTGCACTAGAAAAATAGTTTTCAGCAATACTTTTATGGTGCAATCTTTCAGTAAGTGGGCATAACAATCTGTTGTTCATGTGTGATGGTCAGGTCTATGAAAATAGATTCATAGATTCAATTTGTATATTTTAAGGCCAGAAGGGACCATTATAATCATGTACTCTGACCTCCTGCATAACATGGGCAAGATAATCCCACCCAGTGACTGCTGAATCCAGCCTGTTTTGGGCAGAGATAGAATGTATCTGAAAAAGAGGCATACACAATTTCAACATAGAGACTCCAACTGATGAAGAATTTCCCACATCCCTTGGTAATCTAGTCCAAATAGAGTAGTGCTATAGGAATCACAATGACTTGTTCAGACCTAGGCAGCTAAAAAAATTGAAAAATAAATCTCTCAAAGTCTCTCGAGAAGTCAGCAAACATCTCAACACACTTGAGTTGGCTGTGCAGATTACACCATACTCGACTGTTATCAACCACCTGCAAGTGAAGATAAGGGCATTAAAGTAATTCAGGTGAAACACTCAGAATTCACTTTCTCCAGTAATTACAGGAGAGCCATCACCACTATTTATGGTTTGGTTCTTTCATTCTCTTCCTGAATTAAAACAGACCCCAGAGCTCAGCACTTTCTGAGCACATTAGAACCCTGGAGAAAGGGCTCCCTATTGCCCAATGAACAAAGCATATGGGAGCATCTGTGCTGGTCAGTTCCTATATGGTGAACATTTGGCATGTGGCATAAATTATATAAATTGCATGACAGAAGGCAGGCTGAATACTCTTGAATTGGTCAGTTCAAGTGATGATTGGTAGAGGAAAAAGCAGCAACATTGCTACACAACCTTTGAGGATAAGACATTCAGCAACAGTATTAGCAAATCAGTACGAAAATGCAGAGGGTCACAGCGAAGGGTTCTCATGCTAAATGGGGGACTTGGGTTCAGGCCTGAGCCCAAAACATCAAGCCCTAGGCCAAAGCTTTGGGCAGAAGGGCTGGCAAGATCCTTTGAAGGGAAAAACTGCAGCTGACAACACCAAAATTGAGATCCCTCTCCATCCTCAAAATCAGGCTGTGCAAGGCATAGCACAGGGAAGGGATTATTATTTACAGTGAAGAAAAAGTTAACTAATAGGCCATGCCTCCAGTGGCACTAGTACACACAGGTTCTGTCGGTTACAGTTAATCGGGTCACAATCAACGGCGAGTCTAGGTCACTCAAATCTAGCCCATACAACAGGTGACACTTGGAGTTTTTTCTTGGGACCCATGTGTAAGAGGCCTTATTTACCTCAATAGGAAGGGAAAATAACTATGCAATTAGAGATGTTATTGTTCCACAACACCACACTCTGAAATGAGTCCAAGGCATACTCAGGCACTGCAAAGCTGAGCTGGGCCCTGGGGAGAGAAGGGTAACCCAACTGCAGCAACAGGCAGCACACAATATGGAGAGAGCATGTTGTATTTAATATTAGGTCCTGGAAATTATGCCTTTCATCACCTTGCCCTGGATGAAGAACTTTATAACATTCAGAAGGAACATACAGCTCATGTGCAGACACGACTGAGTACATTGGGATCATTTGGTTCAGTCAGGAAGCTGGGAAGTCTGCCACAGAATATTAGAATATAGTGGATGAAAAGCTAGGGGTATTTGATGTGGGTGAGGGGGCCATTTTTAGCCACAATATTTGGATTAGGAAAATTATTTTCTCCTAAGACACCATGCTGGAAGTGAGAGGAAGTTAAACCCCTCTGAGGAAGGCAAGGGGTCGATTAAGGGATATTTGCCTGTGCCACGAAGTGTATATTTAAAGGAAAGGGAGGCTGCATGGAGCTCTTTGCAAATAGACAAACAAAAAGGCAGTAAAAAAGTGATAAAGGAAAATAATATAGCACCAAAAGAGAAGGACAGCTAAAAGGAAATGAGAGGAAAGGGGGAAGAGAGAGCACTAACACAGAAAGCTACTGCTACCCCCCTGCTAGGATCTGGGGATAGAGCTGCTCCCAAGCCCTTGAGGCAAGAAAGGCAACAGACTTCCATTACCCTGGATTATGGGCTTTGGCCAGCCCTTCAAAGTTGTGCAATCCCCTAGAAGTGCTGGGATGATACAGGTGTATATGGGCCCCAAAAGAACTGTAGTTGATTGGCTGTTATGGTATTGTTTTTAAGAACAGCTGCATGGGCACAGAGGCTGGGCCTGGAAGGGGCATTTACACTGGTGAAGGAGAAATGGTTACACACACTGCATTTGGTGGAGGTCCATATCACTTGAAACAGCTCTCCAGATGCAAGGGAAAGGAATACCAACCCCTGCTCCATGATTGTGTGTCCCAGAGAGCAGAGTAATTGCCTTTGATTATACAAGTAATTTGAGGAATGAGGCAGGCATTCAAAGGTGGCATGAAACTGAAAAGCGTGCA